TATCCTATTTCGATTCCTACTCTGTTATTTGATATTGAAAGAACCAATCCGCTTCTATGCTGGAAAGGACCTTCAATCGTGCACCATCGTCGACTGATGAGCCACCCGAAACAAGAGCGAGTCTTCTTCGGCGTCTGCACGCAGCACAGCGTCTTCATAACTCTGTCAGTTCAGCCATGGTAGGTTTTCCAGAATTTTTAAATCGCACAGTATAGTCGACAACGCCATTGAATGAGTGAAGGCATTTGACTTTTTATTCTACTTAGTTTTAACATTCAATACCAGTTCGAGCTTGCGCAAACCAAATTGTACATTGTTTCACGGGTTAGTTACTCGCGGACATAAAGGAGTAGATTTAAGGGTAAAACCTCTAAGACATCCGCGCAAAGACACGGGTAGAAGGAGTCGAAAAAAACCCGAATTGTTGTTTTGTCAGAATATAAATTAACATGGCAATGGGGGTGAAAAGTCTAGCATATAATGAAAACATAGAATTAGTTATTTTTTGAACCGTGACCCATCACTGCACATGTGTCAAACTAGCAGCATTATATGAGGCAATCAAACGGAGTAAGTAGATGAACTGCAAGCCATGTCAGCCCAATATGCTGGTCCCGGTGCATAGGAGAAGTTAGAGCTTTGTGAGCGCAGCGAAAACTCTTCACGCGTAAGCGGGACAACAAAGCTCCTGGCATAAAAATGACAAGTTTTCCTGCTATGGAGTTGATCAAAACCAGGGTGTGGAACAAAATGATCGAGAAGAAAGAGACGGGTGTTTCAAACCACACTTTGTTTCGTCTGAAGTTTTGCAGTAACATTTGAACCTATCAAAAAACTTGACAAAAGAAGGAGGAAGTTGGCGAAAATAGGTACAGTTTTCATAGAACCCCGGTTGATTCAGCGCCACTTAGCCCCAGTTACTTGCCTCCGTCTGCGTGAAACTCAAAATCCGACTGGCGTTAGAAGGCGGCTGATGTCACCGAAGTCTTTTTTGATGAAATAAAATGATTGTCAACATTTTGGGCTGATGCTGTTTATACTCTCGTGCAATGCATGCTCGGGTTGACGGTTTTGCCTTGATAGCTTTTGGGATCTATCAATTCAACAGTCAGCCGAAAACATCCTGCAATATATCACTAAGTTTGTGACAGAATCTATTGACCCAGATGGCAGGGTTGTTGTCACAACCCCATGGATTAAAAAATTGCGGCCATTAACTTCTCGTATTCTGGTTATCAGGCAATCATATCATGAATTAATGCTACATGGAGTAAATACTGGAGCTGCTGATATTGTTAGTTGCGTGGTCGCGCAGTGACCGCATTCTCTAAATACTACGCCTTTTCGCGTTGGAAACGTCAGATGAACACCATAAATTTCAATTGCTTCCTTCAACATAACTTCTCACTTCTACCCAATAGCCGATCGATTCTGGAGGCTAATGCTCGAGTTCCAGGAGGAAAAAGATTATGCCAGGAAAGGCCTTTCTGCCGGTCCGCATTCAAAAAATAAGAATGAAATATGACTTTAAAGTAACACGGTTCATGAGAGTATGGTCCACAAATGATATCATGTTGCTAAAGGTAACCGCGCTTCCTATCGAGGCTTCTAATGATAGAATGAATGTTTTACTATCTGAGGCATTGCCTTTAGGGCGGTGATTCTTTGTGCTGATCCAAAAAGCAATTTCATGTTAAACTGACACCAAACAACCCTCGGCGCCGGCGGGGGTGTCAGGTGGCGCTTTGCTGTCCGCCACAAACTCACTGCTCCCGGTTGAGGCCTCGTAGCTCTGTTGGCTAGAGCGTTAGTTGAACTAAAACCTTCCCCTTGCTGGCGTGGGTTCGCATTCCACTGAGGTCACCGAGTTTTTCACAAGTAGATCAAGTCATTTATTCACATCTGGTGCAGTCCATAAACAAGTGCAACAACTTGCCCAATCCATATTCGGTGCTGAGGCTCAATTTGGCCAAAGCAAGTCGCCATTTGGGGAGCGAACAGTTCACCGCGTCGTCTTACGCCAACACCGGGAAACCACATGGTTGAGCAATCATCACGTCCAATTTCACCACGCGTGATGCAAGTTCAGCAGGTCACAGCCCGCATGCCGGTCATCAAGCAATGCACGCAGAAGAGGGCAATTATCATTAATTGTTGCTAGTTGTCGTGTGTGTGCGGTAGTGATTGTGTCCCATAAATATGGCAAATTCCTGTGCATGTATCACCCGTTTCTGTTATTATTTTTGCTCATGTTTCTGATGAAGTATCCGGGACGGATTTCAAAACGTCAGACGAATAAATGTCTTGCCCGCACGATCACATCTTCTACTCAGTAGAACAAGCCGTCCGCTAAATTGAAAACTTCACTGTCTGACATGGTCGGATAAATGGTTCAGAGTGAAAACTCCAGACAATGATTTATATGGCCGGGAATTAATTTGAAGCCTAAGTGGATGTAGCCTGCTGCATTGCTGTAGACTAGTTTGTCAGTACAATGTTTCAGTCATTTGTCCCCTAAACGAGCCACTTTGTAGACGTGTTGGACCAACACAGGGGCTAAATCAGGGCCTGATAGGTGTTATTCGTGTTGCGCTCCCATGACAAATGTCGGACATTCGGAGAGGGGATGTTTGCTGCACCTGGAGGTGCTGGTTCATGTTGTATCAACCATCTGTGCTCGCTCCCGCCTCTGGTCTTATTGACTCTGCCCTGACAGCGAGCACAGGTGGCTGAAAGAAGAGGGAATGCAGTTGATGTAGCGCAAGTCTACTATCATTTAAAGCAAATCCGCGCCCAAATCATCGTCCCTGTAGTGCCATCCTGTGGAGCAGCGCACGGTCGATATCGTCAGACTGCGGTTGTTACCAGTATCAGATAAACTACAACCACCATGATAATGGTGTGGGCTGTAGCTGCGTGACTGATCTGTCCGATTCACCCATGGTTAGAGGACGTCGAAGAACTAACCCACCTCTGTAGAATATCAGAGATAGCATCTCGGAACTTGCCTTAGTAGTATTCGAGATATACTGCTTCTGTGGTAAAAGGCAGTGAATTGTCGTAAAAATTTCCGTGGCCTACCGCCGGCCCGCCAAGCATTCGGGGCTTCATCACGTGGGGGTTATTGCACACGGCCAACTAATCCATGGTTGCCACTCCATTGCCGAGGGTATTCTAAAACCGTTCAACCTCAGATAAATAAGCGGAGTTTGGTCCAGAAGAAACCTGTTGTCCAGGATGATAGAACAAGGGGGGTTGTTCATAGAGTTCGACCCCACCCAGCCTTCGAGAGATAACAGATATTAATTCTATATTCCCAGACTTTATAGGTGTGCTGTATGCTGGCTATGGTTGATTAAAGTGGCGATTAAATTCTAGGTCCTACCGAAACGGTTACTTTTGAGCCCTGTGACCACGAGAAAGCTACAATGGTTCCTTTTTACCAGATTCTACGACAAAGGCCCAAAGTATTAGAGAGGTTGATTATAACGAATATTGGCATCATGGACATTGACGCTGACCTACTTTAACCGCAGTGATCTGTTTAAATGCTCGGTTTGTCATTGTCAAGCACAGTATTAAAGAGAATGTCTGCAATGCTGCCTGCAGACAATCCTCTCCAGATGCTTTTCTGACCTTCATTTTCGCCTTGCTTCCTCAAAACTACCAAATGCCAGCGGTGAGCTGCAGTTTGTTTGGAATGTAAGCAGAATTCCCATCTTATCATCACTGCATCTTGTTTGTATTGTATTCCTAAACCTCCGTGGACCGAGTCTGAAACAACCGCTTGGTATCTACTAATTGGAGCGCGTTCTAAGTTTTAGTACATTTTTACTTTGGTATTTTTGGGGGTATGCCCGCGCAATGTTTATAGTACCATTAGATTGAATATTGTGCCATCAAAAAAGCAAGTGTTTTTGTGACGGTCGGCTGGATAGGCAGTAACCTTAGCATAACGGCATGCACAACTTTGTTATATTGTGGTTATTGTTACTAAAATTCTTTTTATATATTGAGAGTTGCTGGTCTTTTTAATATCACTCAATTTGGTTGCTATATGGGGGCTAGAAGAATATCTTTGGTAGAAGTTTACTTATTTTCATGTCTACATTTTGTTGGCTATCCGCGGCGAGGCTCCAACCTTTTCCGCCCAGACGAATTACGAACGCAATAACTGTGAACAGATCGGAGAAAAACATCGAGGAATCTGTCCTGTCCGGAACTTTACTGAGATCCTTGAGCTCTTGTAGCTGCTTATTTTTTTTCCTTTTTAGGCCGAGCGCGAGCGCTTTTTACAAATTGAGCCGGCACAAAATCGGGCAAGCATACTGAGGCGCGTGCACGGAGAACAACGTCGCGCTGAGGCCGAGATCTTGTCAATGAACCTTGCGGCGAGAATGGCGTCTACTCTCTCATTGGACAGCGGGCAATGGACACCTTCAGGTGCATCATCTCCAAGACAGCAGGAGACCAGTCAGGTGTCGCAGCCGTCTGTAAGCGCCTCGGTAAGACCGATAAGTCATTTTCGACTGCTGAAAGGAACTTGCTTTGCTTATTCTTTGTGTGTTTTATCTTTTAAGAACAAATCCGCTTAATTCATAGTCAATGGATCTGCTTTTTTCGTCAGCCATCAATATGTGTAATAACGGAGTAAGAGCGCTGTCTAGTTTAGTAGGTTTCCTTATGACGTTCAACCTTTATTTTATTTAGATAAGTTCTCGCATATGTTTAAAGGCTTCTGACAAAAAGACCATCCACATTCGTAAATATAAAGAAGAAAAAGAAGAAGAGCATACAATCACTTGAATGGTAGTTGTGTTAATCCGAGTCTTCAGCCTCGCAAATGAGCCTGTCTTCAGTATAAGAACAACTAAACAGTTATCTATCGTGACGATGAGAAGATTGTAGACCTCCGGGATTCTCGCCAACACCCGAGAAAACCACCTTACCTTCTAAAATTATGATATTGTTCGACTTATTCCTACTACATACATATATCCCACCAGACCTGGCGAGCGATATTAAACGCAACCGGCTTTAAAATAGGTATAACGAAACGAGAGAACCTTGAATAATAAAGCATCTAAGGAAACTGAATATATTCTAAAAATGAAATTTTCCCACCTTCTATGACATAACATACGAGCAAATAAAAAATGCCGATTGCTTCCCCAATTTCAAGGCCAGTTGCAAAATTGAGGAAAGGTGCTTTCATCAAATAAGAGCCTTTGTTTTGGTGCCGACACGTGGACGACACATTTATTATAAACAAAAAGGGCAGGTCATCAGACTTTCAGCAACCGCTTAACATCCTTCCCGGAATTCAGTTCACATGGGAGGAAGGAAAGACTGAACAATTTATGGGTAGGGGTTTCCTTGGTAGCGCACGAATGTTCTTATTTATATTTACATACCTACTCCCACGCTTCCCGTAAGACAGAAACTTAGGGCTTTTTACATACGATATCACTATCCCACCCCAACTCTAACCCTTACCCTAACAGAAATTCATTGAGTAGGCATGTAAATATATATAAGAACATTCGTGCGCTACCAAAGAAACCCCTGCCAATTTATGTTATTCAGCTTTCTCTCTATGTGCAGAATTAATGCTGAACTTAGTGCCACAGTGTAATAAAAAACGACTAACACCATCCATATCCTCTACCGACATAGTGACCATCCGATGGTGCACAATCGGGAATGTCCTAGGGCGCTGTTCCAAACGGTAAAAATGTACTACAGTGAACCGGAGAGACGAGTTCCAGAACTACGGCTTTTTCAGGGCTAATGAAAGTAACCACTACTCAAACTACGCAGTTAGCCGCTGTCTATGACTATTCGAGCAATTTAACCAGCCACTTGTTCGGTTTGAGTCTAAGAACTACAAAGGGGTGAGAATCACCAACACTGTAGGACCCTATATTATACAAAATGTATACACCAGAAGCAAAGGAAAGCAATGACGTGGAGTATGGCGTGAGTACAGCCATCGTTTGGCTTCTACAGGGTGTACTGGAGTTATGCAGAAGGAGAACCGACTAGACGCAAGTGAGCAGTCGAAGGTAATTGATCAAATCCCAGCTCCCTGCTAGTACGCGAGCCAGACAGTACCAGAAGGCAGCTCATACATACTCGCACAAAAATGGACCACCCGGGGAGGTGACCCGTAGTCGCAGTTCGCAATCCACGCCTTAGGGGAGGGCCATGAATTAGAACACACGGATATTGACGCGGGCCGGCAATCGGTCTGGATGAGAACTGCTGGAGCGCTGGAGTCTCTGACTCCCACTCCGTAACCACACATGTTGATAAACTTGCCTGCTATGAAGCGTAAAGCAGTCACCATACAGTTACAAACACAGTCTTGTAAGGGCGCAAATCGGACACAAGAGGTACTCATTCCAGTCTCAAATATTCGTGAGGGTTCCTTCGTGTCAGAAATAAACAAGAAGCTGGAAATGTACTATTTATCGCTGCGTTTTGCACGCCGATCGTACGCAACTATCAGGAGTTCACTGTTGAGGCAGAAAGAGTCTTTGCCACCACAAAATATGTCTGGAGTCGTATACTGAATCTGAATTGGTTGCAGACAAATCAGTTACTTTAGAAAACGGAAAAATTACTCTAGGAATGGATGACTAAATACGTGGCAATGGGGAGAATGATACTAACTCTGAAGTCGTAACTCATCTAGGGGGAATCCGTCCGCAGCTTGAAGGCCAACGAGACCGATAGCCATATGAAAGGACAACGGTGCAAGCCGCAGCCCTTTTGATTCATTATTCTCTGACCCGTTTTAGCTAACGGATGCTCACCAGTTCTCAATTTAGTTTTTCCCAGCATTATCAAACGTGCCAGGGACTCTCTTCCCTAAAATAGAACTGAAGCTCAGGCCACGAGACGATTTTAGGGCCTAAGCAGTGCTTGGTATGGGGACCGGTTAAAGTTTCAGTAAAGATGAATCTATCTGAAAAAGGCTGGACCAAAGTTGCTGGTGGCTCTCGTGAAAACAATTTCTTTATTGCTGACTAAAATTAGGTCATGACCGGCAAGGTGGTGTTCCTGACCATTAAAACATTTTACTGAATTTCAGCCATGCTATATCCCTGTAGTCCTTTGGTCCTTCTTACTAGGTACTCTAGAGTATAACGTTTTGAATCGTGTCAGTTTATACATATGTATTAAAAGTTATTTTATAGGCCAACGTTGAAAAAGGTTTTTTGAAACGTTATATGGTGGGGTCCGCGATTTTTATGGGCAGCACATCCTAGTTAGCCGGATAAGGTTATATTGTTTCGATTTAAAGTGGATTTTTTTAAGTTTCAGCATCATTTGGCTTCAGAAAAAACACTATCCTCCGTACAGATTAGCATCCCTCGAAATACTTTCTTGTTTTTTTCTTTTTAGTCTGTCGAGGCTCGTCGAAAGGCTGTTGAGGCGGCGCTTAGGCGATTGGGCCGCAGTTCTTAGTTGAAAGTCGTCCTCCATCGGGGACCTCACCTACAAACCTTCCAAGAGATTATCATGCCTTTAGACGTCATCATATTTTTGACATTTTTTAATGTTTTGTTCACCTTCATGCCAACCGTCTGCCTTTTCAAGACAACTTTTCTATTTGCAACCAAAGAGGATTGTGTGTCTTTTCTTTTGTAAAAACACTTTCTGATGATTGCGGCTGGTAGCCCTTCTTTCTTGCATTTTTGTACCAAATTCGATTTTGTATTTTCTTACTTGTCGTTGCTTCCAACGTAACAAAATCGCAACTGCAGTATGTTGTGCGTGTACGCAGATTTTTTTTCTATAGTTTACTATTTTTTAGTAATGTACAGTTATTAGCTTTGCTATAAAAATGATTTAATAATGTTTCTTCTACTTTCGCTGGTTGCTGTCTATATTATGGTTACTTAGGAATTATTAGTTTTTCTTTTTTAAAAAGGACCGTCCCCTCATCTGTTAACATTTATCAGAGACATGCGTCGATCCACTTCGCAGGAAGGTACAGATGAATAGACTCAGCTTAACTGGACGTGTACCTACCATCTAACGGGTTTTTTTACGGTCGGCGTTACATCACATAGAGTAGATTAGGCAGAATCCCTGAATATCGACTGTGAATGCAGTTATTCAGTCATTATGCCTTACATTTTAGAAAGCTGAGTGAGCGTCACGCTGGATTCAAACAAACAGTCCCTGTCTTATCCTATGGTGAGCAAAGTAGCAGGTGAGCCTCCTTGGGCAGTAGAAGCGCACCTGCGAGTACCAGGAAGTAAATGAGAGGAAGAAGATTCGATCGCTGGGACAACACTTTTATTTGTCTGACGTTTCGAAATCCGCCGTGGATTTTTCATCAGAAACATCAGCAGAAAACTGTAGCAGAAGTGGATGATACATGCCCAAAATGTTGCAGTATTTATAGGATCAGTCACTACTGCACACTTAGGAAAAATAACGACAATTAACGATAAATGCCCTCTTGTGCGTTACTTGCTTACTGACCGGCATGCGGGCCGTGACCTGCTGAACTTGTATCACGCGTGGCGGAATTGGTCGTGATGATCGCTCGGCCATCTGGTTTCCCGGTGTTGGCGTAAGACGATGCGGTGACCTGTGCGCTCCTCAAACGGCGACTTGTTTTGGCCAAATTGAGCCTCAGCATTGAATATGGATTTGGCAAATTGTTGCATTTGTTTATGGGCTGGGAGCCAGTAAACTATGACTCAATTAATTCTCGGCTCATACGATTATCACCTCTTGCGAGAATTTCAGCCTCATCAAATTTGAATGTGTGGCCGAGTCTCGGTGAATGAGCCGCAACTAGAAAATTGGCATCATTTTGCCGCACTGCTTCCGTGTATTCGGAAATTCGCGTCTAGAGAAGTCTGCCAGGTTATCAGACGTAGTTGTTTTGTCAGCAACTGCACCAGATCCTATAGACGACTCCGGATGTTTCCTGCCCTGGCAGTTGGTCTTTCGGTGTCATTATCTGACGTCTTATGGTTACCTCCGGTCTGTGTGCTACTCCAAATCCAAGGGGCGCGAGAAGGCGACCGACGGCCTCCGAGGCGTTTTTGACGTAAGGGATCGCTCGCCAAAATGTGGGGTCGGTACGATTTTGTTGCCCATAGGATATAGTCATTACTGTACACATATGACAACGACTATTAACGATAATTGTTCTCTTGCGGGTTACTTGCATGCTGACTGGCATGCGGGCCGTGACCTGCTGTGCACGTATCGCCCGCTGCTGCTACGGTTTTCCGCTGATTTCTCTGAGGAATAATCCATGACGGATGTGGAAACGTCAGGTGAATAAAAATGTTGTCCCAGCGATCGAATCTTCTTCTGAGCCTCCTTTGTCTGCGGAGACAATGACCGCGGTTTGCCGGATTTAAGGGTTTTTAAAGCCTTCCCTTCTTTCCGTAACAGTATCTAAAACTGATTTCGGTCATTTGGGGCTTGCACGGCATTGCATCAGCTTGGGAACAGTTTACCCTCTGTGAGATTTGCGGAAGTCATCCTAAACTGGGAGGGCAACCATCCTATCTCTCATAAAAGACGCGCGGTTAGCAGTCTATAAAATCGAGCAAGGACGCACTGCTCGGACAACGAAGGCTATCAGATGGTTTTAAATTACTTGTGGTCGGACTGTTGGTTTGGCCATTAAAGCAGCGAGCCGCGAATAGAACTTTCGAGTTTCCTTACTTGCAATTATCAGACTACTCCTCGTACTTGCGCGAAGTCGAAGGATGGACATGGTTATAAATACCCCCGTACTAGGAGTGACTTTGCATCACATTCGAGGGGCATGCACGCACCTCTAACCTTTAACCCTGATGCCACCCCAAGTCTAATCCTCACCAACTCCTCATTCTTTACTGCTCTCCAGTTATTTTTCCAGCTTTACTTAAAAAATGTCTGGTCATTCTTAAACGTATCCTCCGAATGCTCTCTTCAGCTGCCGGCGTTTCCTGTTTTTTTTTAGCTGACATTATAATACAGTGACATTTAAGAACAGTGAAGCAATTTGCTGATCGCATCCTTAGTCAGGTCAATCACCCTCTGCACTCTTAACTAGTGGCTGCGAAGTCTTCCCGTACTAGGCTTCCGTCATGTCTTGCCGTAAATCGGCATATCAGCACTCTGTACCCCCATTCATAGCACGCTACCTCATGTTTGAAGAGGCGGAAATTGAGAAGTGGATAGCCAACCTGTCTCCATAAAAGATGCGGATAACGTGCAAACCTTTAATTTTGAGCATTCTATGACCTTTTACCTTTGACCTTTTACCATGACCTTACCTTATCCCTTGCTCTCCGTGAAAGTAGCCATTTTTGCTGAATGGTTTTGGGTATCCCCTTCAAAATAAAGCATTCTCTTTCTCTCTTGGTCCAAAGACACGTGTAATAGGGGGCGGGGAGGGGTACTGTAAACCGTGTCCTACGTAACTCGAGTCTGCAGTTTTAGCCGAATCACAGTTCGAGCCAGTTAGAGCCAATTAGAACACATGCTGCGAGGGCTCTACCTTTTGTGGGCGCTGGGCTTTGCGAGCCAACCATCACACCTTGGTTAAGGCAACGGTGTGCGTGGATGGCGTTGAGAGCGTCATCCAGCAGAATTTATGCTAATAACCGGTCATATGGTGCGGATTATGTATATCAGATAGCGTAAGTTGCCAAATCATAATGCAAATCGATTCTTCGCTCTGACTGTTGCGTCTCGTTGCGTTCTTGGAAGGATTAACGGAATTACAGGTCGCGCGTGAGTTTTCTGGCCTTTTTGGTTGAAGTTTTTTTATATGAACGTGTAATGGTTTATGAATATACTAAAGTGTATTAGTTCAAATACAGCTGTTTACGTTTCTGACCCTACTGTTAATTTGCTTTGCAACTCATCCTAGCAAACAGTCTGACTGCCATTTGAAAGTTTATTTCATGGTATTCAGAATAGCAAGTAAAAATACGGTTTGGGAGCTGAAAAGAAATATCTATGAGCGAAATGCTAGGAAACATCTTATGCATCCACGCCTAGCCTTTCAATTAAAGAATGTAATGTGCTGTTCAAAATTTGATTGTGATGATTGGTGGAGTCCTCGCGCTTCAGTATGTTGCGCGAGCGGAGTCCCAGCTCAAGTGTGATAAGCTCGAGGCTGTCGGTTGGGGCATCAAAGCACAGGTGGTTAGAGTACTGACTGTATCCATTGTTGCTCTCCGTGTCACAGGTTCGGATCCCACGGACATCATGAGTCTTCCACACTTGGATTAGTTAAAATGTTAGTGATAAATACTTTGCTAAGCTCCTTTTATTGTTAAGAGGTTTGGCAGGTTTGCTTAATTTGAGTTGACCCAATTGTGAAAAAACTCGAAATATTCGGCGGGCGTTCACCTAACGCCTCGAGCTTTTTCACAATTGGGTCAAATCAAATTAAGCAAACCTGCAAAACCTCCTAATAATTAAGTCAGCCTAGTAATCATTCTGGCGGATTCTAGATGATTGCTTAAGAAATCCTTCTTTGGCAGTCAGCTTGCTGTTCCGTATTGGTGGATTCCATACGAGTGGTAAAGTTGGGCGGGTAAAATCGACTCAACTGTGATTAAATTCATGGCGCGAGGTGGGGCGTTTGTAGTTCAATTGGTTAGAGCGTTGGCTTTCGGCGAAGGCTTTCTCTTCTATGCGGGTTAAAATCCCGCCGAACGCCTCGAGTTTATTTTTACAATTGGGTCAACTTAAATGAAGCTCCTATTATCTTCCAGTAACTGCTGTGATTACTGTGAAATGAGAGCTGACTTTTCGACGTTTTGACTTAGTTTTCAATTGTATAATAAGAACAACAGACATGTTTTAATTAGAGTCGACTAAGAACTGGGCTAGAAAGATAAACTACATTGCAGAAGTTATTCTCATTAAACTCCAAAAAACGTATAAGCGTTACTGAGGACGACGATGAAAATTCAGGTCAGAGAGACTTAACTTATAGAGAAAAAGTCCAAACTTTTATTGAGCGGACTAATTGACGATAGCAGGAGTAGCCACGGCCTTTTATGGTAATACTTCTCAATTAATGATTGTTGGGCGCTACGCAGTCCTCTTTAGGGTTAAATCTGTTCTGAACGGACTCCTGCGTGAAAAAAAGAACACGAGGTCCATATTCGAGCTGAGGATTCGGTTTGCTTGATGAATGTTACTTCCAGGTGAACCCGTGAGTACTAGTTTATTAATTTTCGGATGATAGGAGACAATGTTAAGTCTGCCCTGATACATTATAACGTAATTGAACATATTACTGTCTGGAGAATAAACCAGAATCGTGAGATGAGCAGCTTATGGAGTTACAACGGCGGCTAGTGTGTGAAAAAATTGTGGAAATTGTTCCGTTACTTTTTTGCCTTATATCAATCGTGACCAACAGCTAATTACCGTGCGGCTACTAGTGGACAGTTGGTCATCAGCCATCCACTTACGTTGGGAGTGTA